AAGTAAAAAGGAGAAAAAATATTCCATTTCTTATTTCAAAATTTTTATGCCTTTGTGATTATTGTCGTAATTTTAAATTTACTGGCTATATACCTATATACCTCCCACTGATGGGCACAAACCTCCTCTCATTTCTTAGAGGATGTGTGTTGGCGAACTTCACATGAATTCGATATATCTTTTTCTTATTTCTCAAACATGCAGCTTTCCTCACGATGTTTTTTCCTTTATCTTCATGTGGTAAATCAGCACTTAAAATTGCAATTAACAATTTGCCGGCGGGGATCTTAACCCGGGTTGTTCGCATACTGTGAAATTTACAGCGAGCACTTAGCCACTGCACTACCACGGCACTCTTCATTATTGTCATAAATCATATCTATACAAATAAATAAAATTGAAGTGTCTGTTTTGTAATGTTGAAATAACATCTTTTTACTACATGCATATGAAATTACATACGGTACTTATAACAAAAAACATGTTGTTTAAAATGTTTGTCTATCTGTCTTTCTGTCAGTCTGTCTGTTTGTTTCGGCTAATCTCCGAAACGGCTGGACTCATTTTGACCGGACTTTCACTGGCAGATAACTTTTATTTTAGAAAAAGAATTAGGGTTCAGCGCAAAAAGTTAAAACCCATGAAATCCAATCGTAATAAATTACACACGGGCGAGGTCGCGGGGAACAGCTGGTAATCTGATATAATTGTTGCCGCATTTTTGCAGTGCGTCGGTTATGTTTGCTGATTGCTTTTATTCAATAACCCGCAACTGATACGCCTCGCTGCTAAGACGGGTGTGCGATACTTCGAACATCATTTTGGGCGCATCGGCAAATAGGTTGAATTCTCCACTACTACGGCACTGGAATTGTCTGTATGTGTCTGGCTTTGAGCCAGGTGAAGGAAAAATTAATTATAATTATCATTAACAATATAACTATCACTAGGATACGCTTTAACTGTTACTAATACATATGGATGAAGAATATGAACTAAATATTTTTGCATTTGAATATTATAGGTCTAATATGATCAATCTAATACAATCATCATGGAAAGCCACGTTGCAACAGTAATTAGGCCTACGCTCTCACAGAATACAGCGTAAAATAGCAACATAAAGGTGCTGTGTTCCGCGTACATTATGTAACGAGACTGGAGATCCTTTATTAATTCTTAAAACAATAATTGGAAAAATGATTAAATGTACTCGAGTTGCGTTAAAGGCTTACTGAAAGAAAACCTTTTCCATCCCTTTTTTGTCTTTACAGATGGATTTTATAAATAATACATAGCCTACTGGCGGTTCCCCGCGACTTCGTCCAGGTGAAGTTTTTGACGATTGGATTTCATGGGTTTTAATTTTTTTCGCGTTACCCTAATAATGTTACTCCTTATAACATTTCTCTCTGCCAGTGAAAGTCGCATAAAAACCGGTCCAGCCATTTTTGAGATTAACAGATACAGACAAAAAAAATTTGTAATAAGTACCTATATATATTTTCATATGACTTTAGTAAAAAGCTGTTATATATTATGTTACACATACAAACATACACCTCGATTTTATTTATTAAAAAATTAAGATGAATAAAATGACATCTCATATGTTCAAATCCATCAACCCGTTTAGGCTACAGAGCATGCCAAAGATATAGACATCTACTCGAACATAAATACTCTCGAAAAACATTACCCTCCCTCTGGGGCTGTTGGCTGAAAAGGAGAGTTTAAGAGAGGAATTCAAATTTTTTAGAAGGTATGTTACTCGATACCTTTGTCAATTGTCAATTATTATGATTATTTTCTTAATGGAGTGATTCCACTTCTATGTGTTAAAATAGGCGTAAAGTTTTGAATCTAATTATTTAGACCTAAAATAAGCTTGTGATATTACATATGTCACTCAATAAGGTTTAAATTTTTAGAATTTTTGTCACGTAAAAATGTGACGTCTTTTGTTGTAGATTGTGAACCCACTGGTAAAGATTTGTTATATTTACGCGAACACTACACATTTTTAAATAAAACTAATTTTACGGATTTTATCGCGTATATTAACTTATTTTTATATTCCCGACGTTTCGGGTGCTTTCCAGCACCCGTGGTCACGGGGGAAACGTCGGGAATATAAAAATAAGTTAATATACGCGATAAAATCCGTAAAATTAGTTTTATTTAAAAACCCACTGGTAAAATTGAGAACCATGGGATAGACAAGTAAATAATTATTACATTAAAATAATAAATATTTACTTGTCTATCTCATGACTGACTTGACACTGGCAGAATTCTAGCAAGAGAAGCCATAATTTATAAGAAGAAGAAGACTTTTAGTCGGAGATTTAATATATCTATATAGTATGTACTGACTTCTATAGCTACAATGGAAATTATTTTATTATTTTACAGTGCCCAAGTATATGTGGAAGCACGGGTGCACTCTCTATTCCCTCACTCTCATAGTCCGAAGGGGCGGTAATCTGACACGACTGCAGAGAGATCAGGTGCAGGACTAACAGCGTAACCTGACATCTAAAACACGGGGTGAAATACAGCCACTTTCTGACTCCGGGCTGCTACTGTGAATTTCTTCAGAGATTTTGTGCTAACCCGGGATTCTAACCCGGGGTTCGAATCCTTCATCGGATAACCTAATGACCAGAAATTGCGTTTACGATCACTAGACCAACGTATAATCAAGTGAAGTGACAACACATCTGCAGTTTTATTGTTGATTGAGGATAGACTTATGTGTTTATGGGCCACACTATCCACTTACTATCTTTTGACTTTGAGTTTTATTATCATACTTACCAGTACAAATATGCATTTTTTGTAATTTCTCTTCATTTGTCTACCTTAATATAGATCATTTTATGTTATATCTCAAAGACTAATCCCATCTGTCTGAATGAACCCAGTTTTACGGCTTCCCACACACAAAGCCGTATTACGACTCATAAAGGTTCTGCGCTTTGTGTTACTACTAAATGCCATCAGCAGACTTAACGTATACGTTAGTTCAGTGACACATAATATAAAGTATGTTTATAAAATAAAGTTTGAAGGTATTAACGTGAATATGTGTATTCCGGAACTCCTTGCTCTAAAACTGTAAATGTATTTATACTGTTTTATTATCTTATTAGACCGTTTTATGTAAGATGATACCTATATGTTATAATAAAATTTTACAGTTTTGGTATGATTCTCAAACTTATAATTAATCATATCTACGCGGATATTATGATTTGAAAAGAAAAGTATATATATATATATATATATATATATATATATATATATATATATATATATATATATATACATATATACTAGCTGTGCCCCGCGACTTCGCCCGCGTGGAATTTACTACTATTTCATGGATATCAACTTTTTTCGCGGAACCCTTATTTTGTTTTTGAGTAATTTTACCATCGTATAAATATTGACAAATATTGACATTAATATTTATACGATACTAACGTCACTCAATTGTTTTACCTTCCCGGAATCCCGCCATTAACACTTAAACTTTGTTTAAGTTCAAATTTACTTTTAAGTATTATTACGAATCTTTTGTATGGTAATATAGAAAATAGTTGTTTTTAGACCTTTTCAGGCAATTTTTTAAATTTTTCTCTCCGTAAGAACCATCTTCGTACTTCAAGCAATATTATAAAAAAAGAATTAGCGAAATCGGTTCAGCTGCTCCAAGAGAAGGCCAAATTGGCCTCTAAAAAGCTTGGCGTGCTCAGCAGAGCGGGACAGTATTTCATGCCGGCTCAACGCCTGCAACTTTACAAGGCGCAGGTTCGGCCTCACATGGAATACTGTTCCCATCTCTGGGCTGGGGCTCCCCAGTGCCAGCTTCTTCCACTTGACCGCATCCAGCGCAGAGCGGCTCGAATCGTCGACGACCGAGTCCGATCGGCTCGACTCATTGGCACTGCGAAGAGATGTTGCATCTCTCTCTCTCTCTCTCTATATATATATATATATATATATATATATACATATATACTAGCTGTGCCCCGCGACTTCGCCCGCGTGGAATTTACTACTATTTCATGGATATCAACTTTTTTCGCGGAACCCTTATTTTGTTTTTGAGTAATTTTACCATCGTATAAATATTGACAAATATTGACATTAATATTTATACGATACTAACGTCACTCAATTGTTTTACCTTCCCGGAATCCCGCCATTAACACTTAAACTTTGTTTATGTTCAAATTTACTTTTAAGTATTATTACGAATCTTTTGTATGGTAATATAGAAAATAGTTGTTTTTAGACCTTTTCAGGCAATTTTTTAAATTTTTCTCTCCGTAAGAACCATCTTCGTACTTCAAGCAATATTATAAAAAAAGAATTAGCGAAATCGGTTCAGCTGCTCTCGAGAACATTTCAGCACATTCAGCGATTCATTTTTATATTATAGAAAATACTCGTATATATATTTGAATTGATATTGATCATGACATCATAACTGCCAATAACTCACTCTATTCTACACAAAGTTAGCTAGTAGAGAATGCCGTATAGCATTAAGCTCGCCTTTTGTACAAAATCTTTGGTACAATAAGGTATAAATCAAATAAATAAATAAATAGAGTAACACAATTTAAAAACGGAAGACCCTTTTACTGGTGAAGTAAACCTTTTATTCCTTACTTTAGTCACTATATATCTTTTATTCTTAATCGATGATAAATGTAGTTGTCTAAAGGTCACAGTATCTACTTATCATTTGGTGAGCTGTTTGGTCATTTGTCACTCTTTCTTCTATATAGTAAATATAATATCGCACCTCCGATAAAATAGTGTTACAACTCGAAAAAGTCGAATTTTGAGTTAAATATACAGAAATACTTAAAATTTTATGAACTATATTCTCCAAAATGGTTACATCTGTAACTCATAAACTCGCCGCTAGATGAGGTTGTAACGGTACATGACTATAGCATTTTGACTCGAGAATGATCTCTATTAGTGTTACATTTAGTGTTATAAAAGGTAGACGTGCGTTTGTTTAGACAAGAAGTGTTACATATCAAAATACAACAGTGTTTTAGACCGGTAAAATATTTTTGCATACATCAATTTGTCTAATGAACAGTTACAAGTCGAATTGTTACAGTTTATTGTTCAAGAATTGAATCAAACTAACTCAATATTTCTATCCTAAAGTGATATATTTTGTAATGTATCAGTATTATGGATGCGATTTATTGTAATATTGTTTTACTTTTCACGTTGTAACAGTATTTGACGAAAAACTTATATTTTTTGTCTGAATATTTCGATTTGTAACCTTGTTTTATAACTAAGTTTAGGTATTTTCGAAATATTTGCTGTGAATCTGATTTATGATTCTAGGTTCAAAATGAAACGTAATGACGTAATTCTGCGTTTAGCTCTAAAGGATAAAAGAAATATACCCGCCGATTCATTCGATCATCAAAAGATTGGGGGAACAAACTTGCAAGGTATGATGCCTACTATACTTACCTACTTACCTTACCTGCCTGTTTTTACCAGGTTATTTTTGTCATTCTAAAAGTTAGTAGCATACGTTATTTTGTATAACGAACTAATTTAAACGCCAAACTTTATGTAAACAAGTGAATTTCATCATAAGTTCGTGTTAATATTTTTTTCAGAATCAAGAGAAAAATCGGATTTTGATATTATTGACAATCTATCAGAAACCGGGAAAATTGACTTCGATATACCACAATGTAACCTCGCAAGAGCTAATCAAGATTTCATAGCTAATTTCGATTTGCCAAATGATCTTCAGACTCAAAGTGAAAAATATGGTAGTATTTTATTGTGCAATTGATATAAAAGTTGCCTTTGTTTAGTAGTCATTATAATTGTTGATTCGATTTTGCATTTACAGATTTAACAATAAGTAATTCTGCCACTTACAATACTGAAGTGATACCATCTACAAGTTCAATAGAAGTTAAAGACCAGAGTTCCAAGCAAATCGAGAAGCCTATTGATGACTCGTCTACCGATTCTTCTTCAGATACAGAAAGTACATGTTCTTCAGACACTTCTAGTTCAACTTCAAATGAGGATAGTGATGATTCGGTGAAAGATCCAGATTTTCAAATTAAGGAACGTCGTTCCATTAAAATCTCTGACGATTCCGAAACTGAAGACAACGTTGGTAACCAAGCTACACCTGCAGCTACATCTTCAGTATCAACATTGTACTCAAACCTAGATGACACGATACCAGACACGAAAAAACGAAGCAGAAAACGTGTAGCGAAACCAACCGAATGGTTACAAAATAAATGTATAATCCTCAGAAATGCAGGATCTGCTTACGTAACACTAAAAACAAAGGTAAAGAAGGATGCTAGAAAAATTAAACCACCGTGTAGCGAACGTTGTCGGTTAAAGTGCAAAGAAAAATTTTCAGAAGTGGATAGAGAAGCTGTTTTTAAAGAGTTATGGGAACTTAAAGATATTAACCGCCAAAGAGATTTTATCAACAGGCATATGGCGCCAATAAAGCGAAAATATAGATACACGACTACTCAAAAAGGGAGACAGTTAAATCATGCATTTTACTTGACCAAAATGGGATGTCAAATCCAAATCTGCAAGACATTCTTCATGAATACAATAGACATCAATAATAGAGTAATACAGACCGTAATCAAGAAGAGGACATCTGCTGGTTTCGTTGAAGAGGACAAAAGAGGCAAACATCACAGTCATCACAAATTGCCTGAATGTGTTAAGGAATCTATTCGCAACCATATTAATTCAATCCCCCGCATCGAGAGCCATTATTTGCGACAGCAAACTGCAAGGGAGTTTATTGAGGGTGGAAAAACAATAGCTGATCTTCACCGTGAGTACGTAGAAGAATGTGGGCTTAATAATAGACCTCACAGCAATTATGTAATGTATGCAAAAAATTTTAACACAGAGTTCAATTTAGGTTTTTTTGAGCCAAAAAAGGATCGCTGTGAGCTGTGTGTTGCTTATGAAATCGCAGAGGACAAACAACATCTTCAACAGATATATGATCAACACCTTTTGGAAAAGCAATTGTCACGACAGGAAAAACAGTGCGACAAAGATAACGCTTCGGAAACAAATATAATAGCAGTTTATGATCTTCAAGCTGTTCTGCCAGTTCCAAAAGGTGACGTATCTGTTTTTTACTACAAAAGTAAATTGAACTGTTTTAACTTTACGGTGTCCAACCTTGCAACTAAAGCAACTGAATGTTACTTCTGGCATGAGGGCATAGGTAATCGTGGTTCTGATGAAATTGGTAGTTGTATTCTCCAGTTTATAGAAAAAATATTGTCTCAAATTAATGATGGTTCTGCTATTGACATAACCTTTTATTCAGACAACTGCGGAGGGCAAAATAAAAACAAGTTTATAATGGCTCTATACGCCTATTGCGTACTCAAATACGATAGACTGAAATCTATTACACACAAATTTTTAGTGACTGGACATACTCAAAATGAAGGCGATTCAGTGCATTCGGTAATTGAGAAATGCATTATAAGGAGTTTGAAATCTGGCCCAATTTACGTGCCTTCTCAATATGCACAAATTATAAGAACAGCCAAAAAAACTGGGCCCCCATACTCGGTGAATGAGCTTTCATTTAATGACTTTATATCCCTGAAGAAGTTACATGCAGAACTACGTTTCGGTACGGGTAACATTAAATTAAAAGACGTCAGGGTCGTTAAATTCATGAAAGAAACACCTCGTGTTTTTTATTACAAGAATTCTTATGGAGACGAAGGATTTTCGGAAGCTAAAATTTGGCGAACACATCCTGAGGTTCTGCCTGGACTAAAACCTGCTTACATCAGACAGCTCTCAATAAGCGAGAGGAAGAAAGCTGATTTGATGAGTTTGATTAATAGTAATCATATACCACAGTTTTATGCGCCTTTTTACAACCAATTGTAATTGAATAAATACCAATAATTTTTTGATAACTATGCACCCTAATTAAAAGACGACTGAAACTTAGATTTCATCTGTGATTTTGATTTTATAGTGATGATTACAGTTCCTATTTAGTATTTAAACATTATTTCATTAAGAAGAACGTTAAACCAAATATTATTTAAGAGTAACTTAATTAAGTACTACCTGAACTTGTACTGTAAAGTGATTCGATAAAATTGTGATGTCTAGAATAGTTTACATTTTTGTTTTAGTTAAAATTTTTGAATATTTATGTTAGAGTTGATTTTGTTACTAAGTCTACAGCTATATAAATATTGTTTAGTTCAAAAAAGTTTAAATAACTGCCTAATTTTTATTATAATAAGAATTGTTACATTTGTCATACTGTATTTTTGTTAGTAAAAGTTCAAATAGTTATCTAAAATACTGTTACAATTAGGAATTTTCAGGTTATTTTTCAGGAAATTTGAAAAATATCTTACGTCATTTAAACATATTTTTGTAAGCTTTTCAATTATATATAATTTGTATCACTTTATACTAATACTACAAGAATAAAGACTGTATAACGAATCCATGAGTTTAATTTCGCTTTTCTAAAGATCCAGGTTTTTCAAGTTGTAACCCTATTTTATCGGAGGTGCGATATATAAGCATGATTCAATAATCACAAAGGCATTACATTGTCAAATTTGGATCAAATTATGAAAATTCTTAATGGACATTAAGAATTTTCCCCGTATCGTGAAGGCTACTGAAACTATTTTCTTTACCAATAGATTTATTTCTAACGTTAATATATAATAAATCTATACCCTTACCAGAACTTGAGCGATTTCTTTATAAATCTGAAATGACACGAACTTACTGTCACTAATTGTTTGATGGTAAATGGCTACTGCAGTCCATGAACACCTGGAGCCAACTTCAAACAAAGAACGCTTTTGATCGGTTGCTATCAGAACTAAGAAGGAATGCCTCAAAGCCTGTCATAATACTGTCTCTCTTTATCCTTCGATTGAAAGTCCTCGATCAGCTCGATAAGGGAAGGACAAAGTTTGCTTATATTACCAGAGTAATAAAGCAGTAGTGCTGTGTTTTGTATGCTGAACCGGTCTCGGAGACCCTTTTACTGGTAACGGCATTCCATCTTACTCCGGGCGGATCATCTGCATTTCGATTCTAAATAAAGTAGGCCAGAGCATCTGCGAATCATCATGTGGACTGCGTGCACGGTCTGTGTAAATTTGTTTAAATCAAAAGATTTTTAGAAATTTACAAATTTGTTAGAACTACTACGGAGCCTGGCACTCGTTCAGATGTCAATTCTTTTTTTTTTTTTATAGGAGAGGGGGCAAACGAGCATGCCGCTCACCTGATGGTAAGTGACTACCGCCGCCCATGAACAACCGCAACACCAGGGGAATTGCAGATGCGTTGCCGGCCTTTTAAAAAGGAGTAGGCTCTTTTCTTGAAGGTCCCTAAGTCGTGTCGGTCCGGAAAAATCGCTGGTTGTAAACTATTCCACAAGGAAGTTGTGCGAGGAAGAAAACATCTTCTAAATCGCACAGTGGTGGACCGCCAATCATCCAGATGGTGTGGATGGTATCGGGAGTTCTGCCGCGATGTGCGTTCGTGAAATTTGGCGGCTGGGATTAATCCGAACAATTCCTCAGAGCACTCCCCATGGTAAATGCGAAAGAAAATGCTAAGAGATGCAACATCTCTTCGCAGTGCCAATGAGTCGAGCCGATCGGACTCGGTCGTCGACGATTCGAGCCGCTCTGCGCTGGATGCGGTCAAGTGGAAGAAGCTGGCACTGGGGAGCCCCAGCCCAGAGATGGGAACAGTATTCCATGTGAGGCCGAACCTGCGCCTTGTAAAGTTGCAGGCGTTGAGCCGGCATGAAATACTGTCCCGCTCTGCTGAGCACGCCAAGCTTTTTAGAGGCCAATTTGGCCTTCTCTTCCAAGTGACCACGAAACTGCACGCTACTCGATATGTCGACGCCGAGGATTCCGATACTGGCTGAGGCAACAAGGGGAGTACCTTGAAACTGAGGAGATACGACAAAGGGGTTCTTTTTAGCGGTAAACGCGCAAACTTGTGTCTTCTGAGGATTAAACTGGACTAGATTTAGTCGCCCCCAATCCGAGACTTTGTCCAGCAAAGACTCGACTTCAGACACAAGTTTGTTCCGGTACTCGGTGACGTTTTCCCGAGAAATATTGGCACGGCCGGTGTATAGAGCATCACCAGTGCTGTCATCTGCATAGCAATGAATGCTACCAGCTTGCAACATATCATTGATATGCAGAAGAAACAGCGTTGGTGATAGCACGCAGCCTTGTGGAACACCAGCGTTAATAGGCTTGTAGTCGGAGCATGCACCGTCTACAACGACCTTGATGCTCCGATCTGCAAGAAAGCTGGTGATCCAATTGCATAATTTCTCGGGAAGCCCATAGGAAGGGAGCTTCGAAAGAAGCGCTTTGTGCCAAACCCGATCGAAGGCCTTCGCAATGTCCAGACTAACGGCCAACGCCTCCCCCTTGGACTCTACTGCCGACGCCCATCTATGAGTTAATTAGACCAGAAGATCACCAGCTGATCGACCCCGACGAAAACCGTACTGGCGGTCACTAATCAGCTGGTGATCCTCAAGGTACCGCATGAGGTGGCAGTTTACAACGGATTCCATTATTTTGGAGAACAAGAGGGTGATGGCGATAGGCCTGTAGTTGGACGGATCTGAGCGGTCGCCTTTTTTAGGGATCGGGTGGACAAAAGCTGTCTTCCATGATTTCGGGACTACGCCTAGGGAGTAGGAGTACCGGAAAAGACGCGTTAGAACCGGTGCCAACTCCGGAGCACACGTCCTCAGCACAATTGGGGGGATTCCGTCAGGCCCACTCGACTTGTGGATGTCAAGGGAGAGGAGTGCTCTGCGAACCGAGCGCTGTGAGAATCGCACATCCGGCATGGAGCACTCACACCGCGGGATGGTCGGCGGTGTGTTCCCCCCGTCATCAACAGCTCTTATAACGGTGGAGCCGACAAAATCGTCAATTTAGAATAGAATAAAATAATTTCTATCAAATTACAAGAATGATTATTGAAAGTCAATTACGCATTTACCATAATTCGGATAAACCCTGGGAAGAACCAGCAAGCAACTCAGCGGGACTTATTTAATTTTTATATTGTAGCTCATTTGATCCCTCTTTAAGATTTTAATTTTTGATGGGATATTTATCATCATCATCCTTACAGCCCTTCACAAGTCCACTGCTGAACATAATCCTTCCCCGAGAAACGCCACAAAACGAGGTCCTGAATCACTTGAATCCATCGACTTTCCACATGTTTTACCAGGTCGTCACTCTATGTAGTAGGGGACCACCCTACACTTCTGCTACCGGTATGAGGTTGCCACTCGAGAACTTTTACTACCCATTAGTAATCAGTTCTTCGAACTATATAGCCAGCCCATTGCCACTTCAGCTTATTAATCCTTTGGGCTATGTCGGTTACTCTGGTTCTGTTGTTTGTATGTTTTATTTAATATAATGATATATTCATAATTGCTTACTTATAAAATATATGTGCATTGGTTTAGATTTGACGGCAATTTAGAAATCAGATGAGAAATATAATATGTTTGTGCTTATATTCATTTCTTATAATCATTGTTATCATAACTTCCATGAAATATCAACTTTTTTTTTAAATCGGTTAAAATAACACTGTTAACACAATTCTTTAAGGAATTCCTTAATTTAAAAATAGTTTCCTTTCCCTCATAAAAGGTAAGCGCTCAAAGAGTATTTGGTATTCCGATGCCGATGTCTTAAAATCAAATTTCCACGAGGGACTCGACATCCGGAGAAAAACTAACGAAAATATTTTCGTTCAATTTACAGACCCTAGCAACGTCTACTCATCTTCGGAGGCCACAGACTGCCAATTGGAACGATTTTCTACCTTTCTACTCTACTTACCGGTATTACGTGTATTTGACCATTCTTTTATTACATTATGATTGTGTTCGTGAGTAAAATATCCGATGAAGGTAGCAAATGAATATCCGATGCCAATGCAGACCTTTAATAATGTAGGTTGGAATCCCAAGCGAGATATAATTTTTTTTTAGGTAATTAGCTGAATTTGCCAAATTTTTGATATTTCATATTCGGTTAACCATAAAGTAAAAATCATAATATTTCTATCAAAATAGATTTTTAAAACGACATTTTAGAGTAAACAAAAAAGCTACGTCAAAGTCCCTGGTGCGAGGAACCTCGTGAAAAGAAGCGGCAAGAAAATCACAAGTAGACTTTTTTTACTCCCAACAGTTAAAATTCAAAATAATAATATATTTATATAAGAAGAAAAAAAAAGGTAAAATCTAAGAAGGCTCATTAGGCATTATCAAGTGTTCACGCCATATTTATAATATCCTTTTCTCGTATTGAGTGTCTTTTACATGTACTTTGAGTTTATGCAAAGTTAAATCAGTAATATTACAGGAAATCCTGTTATGAATAGTAATATCTACTCAGTCAATTAAGGGTGGCAACGCATTTGCATTTTGATTCTTAATCGAGGATAGATGTAGAGTATGGGTCACAGCATTCACTTATCATCAGTTGGACTGTGTGCTCGTTTGTCACCCTTACCCTTATTCTATAGAAAAAAAAATTATTTGCCAGTTTTAGGAAGCCTGTATTTTGGTATCTACACAATATTATGTTCATATGTTACTTTATCAATATAGAAGTCACTAGAATCAGAGTAACCGACATAGCCCAACAGATTATTAAGCTGAAGTGGCCATGGGCCGTCCATATTGCCCGAAAAACTAACAACCGGTGGGGAAGGAATATCCTCGATTGGCAAACTCGTATCGCTAAGCGAGCTGTAAGACGGGCCTTCACTAGATAAAGTGGCGACTTAGTAAGACGTGCAGGAAGTCGATGGATGCAGGTGGCTCGGGACCGTGATTTGTGGCATTCCTTGGGGGAGGTCTATGTTCATCAGTGGACTTGTGGAATGGCTGTTGTTAAAAATATTCTATTATGTTCTTTTCTATAAAGGATCTATATAGGAAATACCAGAAATATCTTTCTTATAGATCATGGTGTAACCATACTATCGCATAATACCCTCTGCGATTGTGGGGAGTAGCGTCAAAGGTGAATGACCTCTGATACTGCGATCGTCAATCGTATAACCAATATAATTATGTATATGTTTCGAATTAGACAAATCGTTACAACAGTGAACATTTACAGGCCGATGAAGACGACGAATAAATCATAATATTTTTAACCGACTTCAAAAATAGGAGGAGGTAATAAATTCGAATGTTTTTTTTTATGTTTGTTACATCAGAACTTTTTTCTAGGTGAATCGATTTTATGATTCCTTCTTTATTTAAAAGTTGGTGCTTTTCATGTGATCCCAAACACATTTGATTAAGATATAACCATTAGTTTTTGTGTTATACTTTATAATGCGTGTTTAATTGACTTCGACTACATTGATGATGTTCTCATTTTATTTATCTTG